TCAAAAAGGGGGAGATTGTTGGCCTTCTTGTTTTGATGATGATTTACAAACAATTTACTACTAATGTTGTTTGTCTAGTGCTTGTATTATCTATTCATTGTAGACAAACAACGTAGTTGGAGGATGGATGGAATAGAGCTTCAACGATCATATCCAAAGGAGGTTGGCGGAATGTCGGTGAAGCCTTGCTATTCAAAGTTCAAGATCCAAGTTAAAGCTTCATCCGCGAGATTACCTAGAAGAGCTTATTGAAGATCAAGATCTAGCTTGGGTAATTTAGTTTAGGGTTTATATTATGTGTGTTATATACTCTAAGCTCAATATTATATTTACACACACATTTATTGGTTTATTCGTATATATATATATAGTCATATATATATATATAGAGCAAAACTTCTGTCAACTTAAGTGGACGTCCACTAAGTTTCTTATCCATTGATGATCACTTGATTGAGCTACATTGAAAATCAGCGATTTTTCTGGAAATGTCAGTTTTCGGTCGACCGGTACGGTCGACCGGTCTAGTGACCATTCGTCAGTATTTTTCCAGAGAGTCATCGGTCGACCGGTCCGGTCGACCGAGAGCTCCATCGGTCGACCGCACCGGTCGACCGAAGATGTCAGCTTGTGGTTTCTCGTTTTCGACCTGGATAACGGTCGACCGAATTTTGGTCCGGTCGACCGAGAGCTCAAATCGGTCGACCGACAGAATTTCCGGTCGACCGACGATGGCTTTTACTGTTTCCAACGGCTAGTTTTTGTACCGTTGGCTGGGTCTTTTGGTCTTTTGTTTTGGGTGTTTTTGGCTGAGCTTTGAGTGGGTATATATACCCCATTGCTGATGTCTTTTCAAAGTAGTTAAGAGAGTTTTTTAATCAAGTTTAATAAAGTTTTTAACAAGGGTTTTAGTTTGGTTTAAGTGTGTTTAAAAAGCTTTTAAGCAAATTGAGAGTTTGTTTTTGTGATTCAATTCTACAAGAGCTTGAGGAGATCATCTATTGGTGTTTGGGCATCCAACTCTTCTCCCTCCACTCTTGATATATTGAGAAGTTTTCTAAACTCTATTTCTAGCTTTTTTATATATTTGATTATCATTGTTATTAAGCTAGAACTACATTGAGTTTAGTTTTGATTTATATCTCTTTGTTCACACACAACCTTTTGAGCTTATTGTATTTACATTCATAGTATAATTTGGGGTTGTGGGTTTGTGACTAAGAGTTGTGCTTAATTGAGTTCTCACCTTGTTTTGAGAACAATCATTTGTCATATTTGTGCTTATTGTGAGAATCACTTTGTAATACACTTGTACACCGAGTGAGGAGTGTGTGGTGAGAGTCGGGGATCGTCCCAAGAGGAGTGGCGTCGGTTGACGTGCCTAGGGAGAGGTTGTAACCGAGCACTTGAGGGAGACACGGCTAGGTCCAACACTTAGTGGGTGTAGAGTGTGATTGCAAGAGTGTGAGTTGTAGAGTTTTCGGTTAGCTAGAAAACCGAGTGTGTAGAAGAAGTTCCGGCTTCCAAACCGGATTGTGTTAGTGGATTTCTCCCCGGGAGTGGGGAGCGGAGACGTAGGACGGAAGGTCCGAACTCCGTGATCATATCTTGTGTTTGAGTGTGCTTTGGCGTTTATTTATACTTGTGTTTATATTTCTTATCGCCATTGTCCATAGCTCATTATTTACATGATCCACTATCTAGTTCATATTGTTTACCCCTTGTGTTAGTTTATATATCCTTGCATATATATATATATATTTCATCATATAGGATATATCTCATTGTTTACATTGCTTATCCTAGCTCATATATATTGTGGTATTTCATACTTGCTAGGATAACTTGTTAATTAATTTTAATTGGCATTTAATCGGATTAGATTAGCATAAGACCCTAATCACCCCCCCTCTAGGGTCTAACAGCACTGTTTATGAACAGTGCATCAAGCCCCCAGGGGCTGACACATCACCTGTCCCATCAGGGGTCCCCTATTTTGGGGTTTCTGTAGCAAGACCCTTTAAAAAAACCACACGACACTAATGAAATAGCATTGAGAAATATTGTAATTTAGCATTAGGATAAACCAAATCCGAAGAAAACAAATGGTTTTAAATTGTCGTTTGTTTCGTTTACTTTTAGGGCCCGTTTGGTTGGTTTCCTAAAATCAAAGAAAAGGAAATCGGTACAATGAAATCAATAAAATAATATTTTTATCCATTTCCATCCCTAAAACTCATCCATAACATCCAATAAAATATTATTTTTATCATCCAACTAATCTCATTTCATCTCCTTTCTTACCTTTAAAAATAAGAGAAATGCTAGAGGCACACTCTCCATCACACCTCCCACCACACCTTCCCTCCTGCTACAGTGCACCGGGGCCCACTTTAGATTTAAATTTTAAATCTCAAGTGGGCCCTGGTGCACTGTAGCAGGAGGGGAAGTGTGGTGGGAGGTGTGGTGGAGAGTGTGCCTCTAGTGTCTCTCTAAAAATAAACCAAACACAAGAACTGTGTCACATCATCCAACTCATCACATCTCATCTTATCTTATTTTTAAAAATCACACACATCATCCAATAATATTGTGACAACTCATCTCATCTCATTAAACATTCATTTCCATCCATTTCCTCAAAAAAAAAACAAGAAATTGATTTCCTTAAGTATGTGTCACATCATCCAAGAAATTGATTTCCTTAAGTATGTGTCACATCATCCAATAATATACTTCCAACTCATCTCATCTCATCTCCTATTCTATAATTTCCTTCTTTTTTAAACCAACCAAACAACCTCAAAATAATTATTATAGAAAATAGGTTTCCTATTCTTTAATTTTTTTTTTTTTTTGGCGAAACGAACAGCCCTTAAGGGCCTGTTCGTTTGGCCAAAAAAACTGGGAAATCAAACTTTAGGAAACCTATTTCCTATTATAATTACTTTGAAGTTGTTTGGTTGGTTTAAAAAAAAGGAAATTATAGAATAGGAGATGAGATGAGATGAGTTGTCACCTTATTATTGGATGATGTGAGTGATTTTTTTAAAAACTTGTTTTAAGGTTGTTTGGTTGGTTAAAAAAATAAGGAAATGAATTGGAGGTATATTATTGGATGATGTTTTTGAGGTTGTTTGTGTTTGGTTCGTTTTTAAAAATAAGAAAATAGATGAGATGAGATGAGTTGGAGGTATATTATTGGATGATGTGACATGTACTTAAGGAAATTAATTTCTTGTTTTTTTTTTAGGAAATGGGTGGAAAGGAATGTTTAATGAGATGAGATGAGTTGTCACAATATTATTGGATGATGTGTGTAATTTTTAAAAATGAGATAAAATAAGATGTGATGAGTTGGATGATGTGACACATTTTTTGTGTTTGGTTTATTTTTAAAGGTAAGAAAGGAGATGAAATGAGATGAGTTGGAGGATAAAAATAATATTTTATTGGATGTTGTGGGTGAGTTTTAGGGATGGAAATGGATAAAAATATTATTTTATTGATTTCCTTGTACCGATTTACTTTTCTTGATTTTTAGGAAACCAACCAAACAGCCCCTAAATAAAGATAAGCACCTTTCAAGCGTCAGTGGCTGTAGTTTAGTGGTTAGAATTCCACGTTGTGGCCGTGGAGACCTGGGCTCGAATCCCAGCAGCCACAGTGTTTTTAATATTGTTAATTTGTCTTTTACACACCCTGAGTGTACAATAATACACCAACTTACCCTTCGCTTTTTTCACTCTCTTTCCTTTCGAAACTTCTCGTTTTCGCAAGAGCAAATTGCATATAGCCCCATTTTTTGGGTAGATTGCGTATAAATTCCTATTGTATGTCTTCATTTTCCATGTAACACTATGCAACTCAGTTGTTAGCACTTGGCCTCCTTAGTTAATGAGAAATGGAGCGTTGCTTGCAATTTATCTATCTAAAACTGATTATCCTGCAGCGCTAAGTGTTAATAAATTCCTATGTATATCTTCATTTCCATTTAACACTATCCAATTCAGATGTTAGCACTTGTGGAAGAGGGTGTTATTTGCAATTTATCTTTTTAAAACTGATCGTCCAGACACGCTAAGTGTTAATAAATGAGCTAAGGAATTTTATTAGTACTGAGTAAATTGCATATAAAACTATTTTTTTGGATTTTGGATAGATTGCACATAAGGGGGTGTTTGGTTGCATGTTTTTTGAGAAATGTTTTCTCAAAAGTACTGACGCATGGCATTTCTGTAATTAAGAAATTTCTATAGATTTCTATAAACTGTGTTTGGCTCAAAAAAGATTTACAGAAATGTTTTCTATAAAGTACAGAAAAGTACCAAATTTTATAGAAATTGATTTCCTTCAAAAATGGGCGGAAATCTCTTGGAAATCTGACGCATTCATTATTTAAATAATAAAACTCATTAACACATTTCTATAAAGTTCTCACTTTTCTATATAGTTGGGGGTGTTTGGTTACATTTCTATAAATTATAAGAAATGTTGCTATTTTCCCAAAAGCTATGAGTCATTTTCTTGTTTTGAACCAAACAAGTAAAATACAAAAAGTAAGAAAATTTGTACTTTTTAACTTCTCAAAACTTTTCCTATAATTTTTTTAAGAAATACAAGGAAATCAAATTTTGGGTGGAAAACATTTCCTATAATTTATAGAAATGTAACCAAACACCCCCTAAATTCCTATGTACATCTTCATTTCCATTTAACACACTTCAACTCGTTTGTTAGCACTAAGGCCCCTTGATTAATGAGAAAGGGGGTGTTACTTGCAATTTTTCTTTCTAAACTGACTATCCAGAAGTGCTACGTGTTAATAAATGAGCTGAGGAATTTTATTAGTATCTTTTTTAAAGTTCATTTTTTTCCCCAGATATGTTTTATTAGCAGCGATTTGCAGTGGTTTTCTGCAATTTTCAAAGTTCAAGAACGTACGCTACAAATCAAGCTAAAGTCCAAGGGGTTTTGGAAAATTTACCCTTTTCCCTGTCCTTCGATTATACACCAAATTCCCCTTTGTAAAGGCACACGAGCTCTCTCCTTCATCGCCCTTCTCTCGCTCTCCCGCTTCGACCCTCTCTCTCCCTCTCTCTCATGGACCTCGACGCCAATCCCCAGCACCAAGGTAACATCTTTCTCACTCTACCCCCTCAATTTTAACTTTTTACCAAAAGCCCCTCTTTTTGTCTAGATTCAGAGGAGAAGCCCAAGGGCATAGTCGTAATTCTCAGCGGAGCTCCGGGCAGCGGAAAGTCCACGTTCTGCAACGATGTCTTGAGCGCCGGCCGCCGATCTTGGGTTAGGGTTTGTCAGGTCCATTCTATAACCTTTTTTTGTTGTCAAAATGTGTGCAATTTGCAACTTTGGTGCAACACTGTATCTAATTAGGGGTCAGGGCCGTACCTAGGAATTTTGGGGCCCAAGGCGAAATATTGGATGAGGCCTAAGTGATACAACTCATAATACATTTTATCTCATTCTTCTTACCTTTTGAGCGGCAAAATTACATATTATTTTCAATATCTTGTAACATGGTCGATCTTAAATAAGATTTTAGTAATTTTAATTTTGAAAAACTTCTTTCAGCGGAAGCAACTGTTACGAGTATAGTCAATAGTACACGATAAGCAATACAAGTATTTAGAAAATAATCTAACCACTTTATATAGTTCAACACTTCAATTGGACTATTAATCTCTATTTTTAAAATTTCCCCAAGCACTCTCAATTCTGAAAACAAATCAAGTCCATTAATATCTAAATGTTCATCATGTTTTAGTGCATTTTCGAGATTAAGATAATATGCTTTCAATTCAATATAATCTAAAGCTTTTAATTTTTTCAAATCAAACAAAAAACCAAATTTTTTTTCATACGTTTTAAATTGTTCAAACCTACTTTCAATTGAGCCAAGCGATTTATCAACTATGTATAAGAAATATTCAATAATTTTACTAACTGAATTAACAGCAAACAATATGTCATACCAAATATTCATAGCTATTAAGAATTCAAAATTTTCAATCTCATAAGTTGCTAAGCTATTAGCTTCACTTTTTATCTTTGGATCTTCACTTTTTAAATAGGGTTAGGTTTATGCTTAAGTAACTAAGTTACATATATTATATATATGGGTGGGTGGGCCTTATCCAACTTGGGGCCCAAGGCAAAGGCCTTAGTTGCCTTATGCTAGGGCCGGCCCTGTTAGGGGTAAAAGAGCAAAGTACTTGATATATGTTCAATTGAATCCCAACGCATGATTAACATCGTTGGTTTTTATTGAAGAGGGGCCAAAAAAAATCAAATTTATTAAACTTCGTTGGCACTTGAGAATGTCGGGGTTATGATCTTTTCAATCTATGTAAAATATGAAACTAATACTCTGTTTGTGATTCCAATAGCTAATGCTTGTAGTTTTGTACATATACACTAGTTGAGTAAATGTTGCTGGTGTGTTGCTGACGTGGAATATATACTACGCGTCAGAAGTGATCAGGGTAAGTTTGTGATTTAGAATTTTAGACCGTAATGGCTTGGATTTGTTTTCCACGTCAACAACATAAGAGCTGAGGGGATGTTTTCCACGTCAATCTATAACCTTTTTTTTTTGTCAAAATGTGTGCAATTTGCAATTTTGGTGCAACACTGTATCTAATTAGGGGTAAAAGAGCAAAGTACTTGATATATGTTCAATTGAGTCCCAACGCATGATTAACATCGTTGGTTTTTATTGAAGAGGGGGCAAAAAAATCAAATTTATTAAACTTCGTTGGCACTTGAGAATGTCGGGGTTATGATCTTTTCAATCTATGTAAAATATGAAACTAATACTCTGTTTGTGATTCCAATAGCTAATGCTTGTAGTTTTGTACATATACACTAGTTGAGTAAATGTTGCTGGTGTGTTGCTGACGTGGAATATATACTACGCGTCAGAAGTGATCAGGGTAAGTTTGTGATTTAGAATTTTAGACCGTAATGGCTTGGATTTGTTTTCCACGTCAACAACATAAGAGCTGAGGGGATGTTTGATTGCGTGAAGTGGAAAATAAAAGTGCGAAGACACTTTTAGCACTTCGGGGTTTTGTTTTAGGGTGGATTACACTAAAATTCCCTGTTGTGTATCCAATATTGTGCATAAATACCTCAGTTGTAAATAAATGGTTTCACTTAAATACCCAAAACTTTCTACAAGTTGCACTTTAGCACCATCGTTTATGCAAATGTGAGAATTTCCCCTTGAAATTTGTCATGAGACACTCACATGGTATTCTTAGAACATTTCAACCCTTATTTTTTAGATCTATTGCTAAACCTATCAAAATGCAATTATAAGATAGAATTAAGGGAGGTTTAAATAGAATTTTAATAGGTTTGCCACAAACTTAACAAATTATAAGGGTTAAAATGTTCTAAAAATAACATGTGGCTGCTTGCACGACAAGAAGGGGGGAGGGGTTCTTACATTTTCATAACCGAGGGTACTAAAGTGCAACTTTAGAAACTCTACTGTATTTAAGTGCAACCATTTACATCTGACAGTATTTATGTGCAATGTTGGGTATTTAAGTGTAATTTACTTGTTTTATTTAAAGAATCTGTGAAAGTAAAATGCTAAAACTAAAAAGTGTCACATTAGACTTATTGCATGCGTAACTTCTCCTAGGAAAAAGGTCGTTGAGGTCATCATAAAACTGGAAATGTGGGGATCACTCTAATTAAAATACTTTTTGTTAACATATCTTTTAAGTTTAGTACAATTTTTAATAAACAATAATATTACATGTCATCTTTACTTTTCTAGTTTTAAAAAAAAAATCAAACAAACACTGTATATATTTCACTTCCATGCTGATATAGAGACCATTTCATGCTTGTAAAAAAAAGACATTTTTACACCTTTAATCAAGGACGGATCCATTAAGAGTGGAGTGGGGCACTTGTCCTCACACAATTTTTAAATTTGTTATGAGGGATGTACATTTTCATATAGGTGCCCCCAAGAGATTTTGATTGGTGCCCCCACCTCACAAGAAATGTGACAACTTCGAGAACAATAATGGAGGACTATATTACTAGTTTTTTTGTTTGCTTTTACAATGAAAATGAATATTATCATGTATTGATATGAAAATGAGGATGAAAAATATTACGTGTTGATATCTTTATGATTATGATATGAATAAGTTTTTTTATTGATAAAATTTATTATATAAGTTATTAGTTTATGTGCATAATTGGATATGTGCCGCATAGGAAAATTCCTGGATCCATCCCTACCTTCAATTCACCTTAAGTTGCCCAAACACTGCCTAAGAGCATGTAGAGACACACCAGCCCACTTTACTTGTTCTGATTTTGCTATCCTAAATATTTATAGCATTTCTTGCACTTAAAGGTTGATACTACTATTTCAAGGTAGCAGGTTAGTAGAAGGTTGACACTCTTATCTGCATGAATTCCCTCTGACCTTTTCCATTAATCAAATAGAACTGCCTCTAACAGGACACTATTGCAAATGGGAAGGCTGGTACAAAATCACAGTGCTTGAAGAGTGCTGCTGCTGCATTAAAGGAAGGCAAAAGTGTTTTTATTGACAGATGCAATTTGGAGAAAGAACAACGTGCTGAGTTTGTGAAGCTTGGTGATGAACAAGTAGATGTGCACGCAGTAGTACTTGATCTTCCTGCTAAGGTTTGTATTTCTAGGTCAGTGAAGAGATCCGGGCACGAGGGCAACCTGCAGGGTGGGAAAGCTGCTGCTGTGGTCAATAGAATGCTACAAAAGAAAGAGTTACCTAAAGTCAGTGAAGGATTCTCGAGGATTACTTTTTGTCAGAATGAAAATGATGTTAGAGATGCGGTTAAAATATACAGTAACTTGGGTCAGAATGATAACCTTCCGGCTGGAAATTTTGGTCAGAAAAGCCCTGATGCTAAAGTGCAGCTTGGGATAATGAAGTTTCTTAAGAAAGTTGAGAACCCTAAGAATGCATCTAATGGTTCACAAGGTTCTTCCCCAAAACAAGAAATTAAGGACAAAGACCCCTGTTTCATGGAACTTGAAAATGAGCATGAGAATAAGGAAGGTATAAAGCTCAAAGACTCGTTGGTAGATGATATACCTATTCTGGCTTTCCCGTCTATATCAACCTCAGATTTCCAATTTGACCATGGAAAGGCGTCTGATGTTATTGTGGAGAGTGTTATTGAGTTTTTGAACAAGGTTGATAATGTCAGACTTGTTCTGGTAGATATAAGCCATAAGTCACATATGTTATCTTTGGTTAAGGAGAAAGCTGAGAAGAAAAATATTGACCCGAACAAGTTTTCCACACTTGTTGGAGACATAACTCGGCTTTGTACAGAAGGAAAACTATGCTGCAGAGTCATTGCTAATGCTGCAAACTGGTAAGAATTCCTATAGAAAATTTGCTTGCTTTGATTATGTATATTAGGAAACCATTCATAGATTTTCTTTTTTTATGCTACATTTCTACTTTCTGTGTATATTAACTAGACAATATATCACATACTTCTTATCTATCAAGTATGTTAATTCATATATGACTCCTTTGGATCGGTTGCCAAAACATCAGGTCAACTGCATCTTGCCTTTTTTTAATGTATATATCATGCCCATATGTAGACAGTTGAACTTCTCCATCGCAACACTGATGATGAATTTCTAGAGTAAACATTTTATCTTGCTAGCCTTTACAGTTTTATATCAAATGCATATCGTCCTGCATCGCATGTAGAAAAATTTGCTTAGTATCACATGTTTGTTTCGTCAATGTTAATGCACAGGCGGAATGGATAAAGAATGCGAGCAAAGTAAACTGAGCACTTTATCCTTACTACATAGAGCTCAGTATCATATGTTTGTTTCGTCAATGTTAACGCATAGGCGGAATGGATAAAGAATGAGAGCAAAGTAAACTGAGCACTTTATCCTTACTACATAGAGCTCAGTATCATATGTTTGTTTCGTCAATGTTAACGCATATGTAGAGCAAAATTTGGGGGTGGAAGTCAAACTACCATGAGCTCTAGATATTTTAAGTATTCCAACATAACCATACAGAATTTCCCTCTTTCAGAATTTACTCGGTGTTTTAGTATGCCTGAGTTATATATTTTTCAAGGTTTCTAGTTCCTTAAGTGCTCTATGAAGCAGGCAATCACATCACAGTACAATTTTCTTTTCTTTTTTAAAGGAAACTTATGGACCGCTATGAAGCACGGACACCGCATAACATGAAGCCGTGTCGTGTCGTGTCCGTGTCGGACACACGTGTCGAACACACGTATCCTATGTATTTTTTAGGATTTGCCTCGTGTCGGCGTGTCGGATGGCCGTGTCGGATCCGTGTCCGTGCTACATAGATGGACCGCAAGATTACTAGTTGAGCTACTGGTTCATATTGGTTTTTGATGGACATACAGTTATATACTGTAGCAAATATGTATTTTTTCTCTTATTCTCAGAGGTTTTCTGAAAGTTTGCTCCGTTGTTAAATGAGTTGAACTGACATAATTGGTGAAGTAGATATCGAGCCTTCAAGGGACTATCAAAAGCCCCTCTCATTTCTATATTTCTCCAAAAGATCGAACACAGGGCTAACAACTTGAGTTTAAAGAAGCCAAACATATGAATAAATAAATAAATATTCCTCTTAGGTCTACATTTCTCTGGTAGGCTGACAACCGGTGATAAAATGTGTAATATAAGAGTATAATTTCAGGGATTTCCTTCAATCTAGTATATATACAGTAATAGTTGTGCACTATATGTTGCTGATGATCTTCTACTATCAATACAAATATCATCACTATGGTTAACTGATGTATGCATAAGTGAGTTGTCACTTCAAATGACTCAAAATGGTACTTGTTCAGGCGATTAAAACCTGGAGGTGGAGGAGTTAATGCAGCTATATTCAAAGCAGCAGGTGAAGATCTGGAAATGGCAACGAAGGAAAGGGCTGATACTCTTAGCCCTGGGACCTCTGTTGCCATTCCTCTTCCTTCTACTTCTCCTCTCTATCGAAGAGAAGGAGTTACTCATGTTATACATGTTCTTGGACCAAATATGAACCCACAGAGACCAAACTGCCTTAAAAATGACTATGTCAAAGGTTGCAAGGTCCTTCGTGATGCCTATGCCTCTCTTTTTGAAAACTTTGCATCCATTACACGAGACCAAAGATGCAACGAGGTAAAGAGCAGTGATCCTAGAAATGATGCCAGTAAGAGAAGCAGTGTCGATAATTTGCACAATGATCAGAAGAACAAACGAGATGGCTTCCATGACTCCGAGAGTAACAAAAAATGTAAATTTATTTTTTAATTGCTTCAAACAAACGAGTGTCATAAAAGCTTAATCATTTGCTTTTCCTTGCAGCAAAACCTGATGATAACATGGTAGTTTATAAAGATAAGCAGAAGAATGAGAAAACTGCTGCAAAAAGGACCTGGGGTTCATGGGCACAAGCTCTTCATCAGATGGCCATGGATCCTGAGAAGCACAAGGATGCTGTCATTGAGATATTCGATGAATTTGTAGCTTTAAATGACCTTTATCCAAAGGTAAATTACCAGCATTTTAGTTATATCTTCTGTTCCACAACTAAATTCTAGTTCTTTGCAGGCAAAAAAACACATCCTCGTGGTATCAAGATTGCCTGGTCTCGATTCTATAGCAGATGTTCAGAAGGAACACCTTCCGTTGTTGAAGACAATGCATGATGCAGGTCTTAAGTGGGCAGAGAAGTTCTTAAAAGAAGATGCTTCTTTAACTTTTAGACTTGGATATCATTCGGTATGCTCAGACCTAAAAGAATTTCTCTCCTTATTTCTGCTGGTAGATTTCACAAAACACCCTCAATTTTGGGGCTTCTGCACTGAGTGTCCAGATCCCTCTGAACTGGTCCCACTTAAGCAATATGACTGCCAGCAATTATTTTAAGTTTTCATGTTCTTCTCACACGTCAACTTACTCGACAATGTTAGCTCGATCTACTAAATATAAATTCTATAAAAAGTTAAAATGGTAGTTTAGGACTTTTTACTGTTACCTTAACGTGTTACCTTAACGCAGTGCGTGAGGAACTTTCATAGTTCAGGAGGTTTAGTTAATTTAGAGAGTCCAGGGGGCATTTTCAATGCTTTACATTTAGGGATTACTTTTTAACAAAACCCTTAAGTTCATGGGCTCTTGCGAAATTCACCCTATTTCTGCTTTTTACTTGATGACAACTTATTGATATGTTTGACATTTCATAGGTCCCATCAATGCGTCAACTCCACCTTCATGTTATCAGCCAAGATTTCGACTCACCACACCTTAAGAACAAGAAACATTGGAATTCTTTCAACACCCTTTTCTTTCGTGATTCTACGGACGTTATTGAGGAAGTCGAAAAGTCTGGAGAAGTGACTTTGAACGATGAGAACTTGTTGTCTGTGGAATTGAGATGCCACAGGTGCAGGAGTGCACATCCTAACATCCCCAGGCTCAAGTTTCATATTTCTAATTGCAAAGCATCTATTTCGTCTACTCAACGACTAGTTTTTGCGTCCTCATAACTCATTAAGAGTTCTGCTAGGTGATGTACATAATCCTTTTTAAGTGAGAACCTCACTGAAGAAGAATGCATTTTGTGCTTGTAATCAGCTGATCCTTCTGGTTGAGTCACTGATCTAGGTGTAACTTCAATTTTGCTATGAGCAGACAATTTTATTTGATTTTTAGTGATGCCTGGTTCGGAAGCTGTCCAGTTTTAATTATTGCACTGTAAAGAAGTTATAGACCCCAGTCTTTGAGAAATATTATCTGATATTAATAACAAAATAAGGCTGAATATTAGACAACCTCCTTAACTTTTAGTGATTATCAGATAACCCTTATAACTTTCACACACGTGCAAACACACACACACACACACAAAAAGAAAAAGTAAAGAAAAGAAAAGCAGCAACAGTATTAAGCTTTAATTTTCACGGTTGGGTACATTACACGGGCAATTTTTCTAATGCGGTATTATGAAAAATTCTTAGACTTACATGGGTTAGTTGATGACACCTTAACTTGAGGGTTTTTTTCCTGATATTTTGAGAGTTAACGAAGAGTTATCTGATGGGTGTTCAAAGTTAAGGGGGCTTTTCTGATATTTAGGCAAAAAATAAAGTTAAAACCAAACTAAGAAAATGACTATCAACCAAATTTACATGGATCCCTCATGGAGTATTACTTTTTGGCAATCTTATCCTCGTGTGACAACCTTGCGCATTGTCTTCCACTCGTTTCATAATGTTTTATTCCATCATCACCCACAAGAAGTTCACTTAATTTGAAATCTCAGAATCCATAAATAGTGCAATACATGACATTTAAATCCCAACTACCTCTAGCGTTGATTCTAAAAGGTCCATTCATAAAAGAAAACAAGAACTTCTAGTTCTCACTAGCAACTTGGACTTCCTCAAAAGTCTTTTTCTTGCAGAGAGGGACAATATCAACTTGTCAAGCTAAAATCAAAGACCATTTAGCTCGCTACATCCGTTAATGCAATTGAAATGTCAGTTATCCATAAGCCTGCAGCTATAAATTCCTTTTTTACAAGTTATAGAACTGCAATTGTAACTTCAGATATTAGCCCTATAGTAACTTTTTCAAACCGCTAGGGTTGGTTGATATTTCAGAGATCTTATTTGTAGCTAAAAAAGATTCAATTATAACTTAAACAAAATCCACGAGACGCTGTCTGTAACCAAGGTTATAGAAAGTGCTAGATTGTGTCTAGGCGTCAGATCCGGTTCCTAAAGCCTAAACGGCTAGGTGAGGCTTAGCCACTTTCCTTTTTTATTTTTTATTACAATCAATGTTACCGAAATTATAATCATTGTTATCAAAAGCGCAAGGCACTGCTAGTGCCTAGATGGATTTCTATTTTTATTTAAGCGGCAACTAGGAATGTTTTGTTGAAAGGTCGAAAGAGTTAAAAGATGTTGGAAATAGGGTGTAGATCCAAACCTCGGCGAGCTTGAGCGACTTCAGGCGAGGTCCTGTCGACGGCGCAGGCGAGGTGATGAGCTTCTGACGAGTCGACACAGGCAAGGGAGAGACTCTACAGGTGAAGTTGACGACTAGGGCAGGCGAGCTCGTGGCGAGCTCGAGCGAAGGCCCTACAGGCGAGGTTGAAGACTCAGGCGAGATCGGCGACTTCAGGCGAGGATGTGATCGTTGCAGGCGAGCTCGAGATAGGTGGCTCAGGCGAGATCGACAACGAGATGCAGGCGAGCTTGAGGCTTGCTGCAGGCGAGGTTGTCGATGAACTGCAGGCGGGTGTGAGGAGAATCTCAGAGAGAATTTTTCGAGAGCGGCGGCGGCGTTTTGTGAGCGTCTTCTCCTCCCCGACTTTTGAGCACGTTTTTTGAGAAGAAAAATCTCGATCATTTAAGGGTTTCTTCCTGTAGCGATTTATTGAGGAGAGAGTGAGTTTTTCATGTTGGAAAAAACTCACGCCTTGAGAGAACAACAAATAGTTTTTCTGTTTGCTATTTTTGAGAGATCTCAAGTTGAGATATTCTCTTTGCAAGTTTTGTAATCTTCTTTAATATAAAGGAAATTATTTGTGTGGCTCTTAAGGACGTAGGCAAGTTGCCGAACCTCGTTAAAACTCGGTGTTCTCTTTTCTTGCAATATTTTTAATTTGCTGTGATTTCTTCTTTTCACTTCTTAACACAAGATCCGGTAGGGAAAATTCCGTAGAGGATTCATATTTGACATGTGGTCGAGCAGCCTGAATTCCCTAACAACTGGTATCAGAGCCCTTATTCAGATCTGTGTGTGTAAGAAATAGCAAAAGAAGGTAAATCTAAAATTGAGAAGTTTGACGGGTCAGACTTCACCTACTGGAAGTCACAGATGGAGGACTATCTGTACCAGAAGGATCTTTACCATCTGCTGATGGGTAAAGCAAAAGGACAAAAGAAAGAGGAATCCGATGAGGACTGGGAAATATTGGATTGAAAAGCCCTAGGGCAGGTACGATTGGCCCTCGCAAAATCTGTAGCACACAATATATTAAAGAAGAAGACGACCATGGGGCTTATGGAAGCGTTCGCAGCGATGTACGAGCAACTGTCAGCTGCAAATAAGGTGCATCTCGTCAAAACACTATTCAACCTTAAGATGGCAGAAGGATGTTCCTTCACGATGCATATCAGCGAGTTCAACACGATTGTTGATCAACTCATCTCAGTCGACATCACGTTTGATGACAAAGTGCGGGCCCTATTGATACTATCCCAGTTGCCAAATAGTTAGGCATGTTGCGTGACCGCAATCAGCAACTCGGCGGGGAAGGAAAAATTAAAGCTTAATGAGGTGATAGCTATGATTCTATCTGAGGAGGTTAGAAGAAAATCGAATGAATCAGAAGGTTCAGGTTCAGCCCTAAGTCTCGAGTGTAGGGTCGAAAAATTGAAGATTGATTGATTCTCTTGTTTTAATAAATGGGTTCGATCACTTGGTACGAAACCCTTACAATCACTCATACTCTCTCTCTCTTGATTACAGAGGAAGAGAAGATTAATTCAGCTTCCCTTTTGTTTAAGGTGGGTTCTAGGTGGCGAAAGGATGCTTCCCCCGATGCTTGAGTCGAGCTTGCCTCCCGTTGACGATCAGACCAAGATCACAAGAACTTCTGACATTCATTGGCCGGCTGGAGTTGAGGTTCGTACTCCGGATCGACGCGCAGAAACTTTGATCTCTGATACTTCTCTAAGTCCAAGCTCGAAAATCTCCCCTCCCTTTTCTTTCTGTAGCCATCGATGACTATTTATAGGTTTTTTTGAGCACGTAACCGACGTGCTACAATAGTGGAGTCGTGGGCGTAACTGATGCGCTAAAATTGTGAAGTCGTGGCGTAACTGACTCCTTGAATTTAGTCCACGTGGCTGATTGGGTCTTCATGACCGTTACAGTCTGATTTAATACGGGTGACGAACTTCACTGCGTTGGTGAACCTCGTCTTTGATGTCGAGCCTCGCTGCGTGGCGAGCCTCGTCTTTGATGTCGAGCCTTGCTGCGTAGCGAGCCTCATGAGCTTCGTCTTCACTGACGAGCTTTAAATCCAATGACAAGCTTTGTTTTTATTGACGAACTTCACCTCCAATGATGAACTCCGAACCTCGTATCCAATGACGAGCTTCGAACCTCATATTCAATGACGAGCTTCGAACCTCATATTCAATGACGAGCTTCGAACCTCGTATTCAATGACGAGCTTCATCTTTGATAGCTAGAGTTCAACTCGTGTCCAACGACAAGCTTCGAACCCTGTATCCACTAGTGAACCTCGAACCTCGTATCCAATGACGAGCTCCGAATTCCATATCCACTAGCGAACCTCGAATCTCGTATCCAATGACGAGTTTCGAGTCTCGTAGATCCGGTTCATTCAATAATGAACTTTATCTTTCAATGTTGAGTTCTGCTGCATGGCGACTCTCGTTCTCGAGGTTGATCTTTTCTAAATAACGAACCTCATTTCTGATTGAAAAGGGGTTTGTTTCCCTGACCCTTCTTTTTCACCTTTTGAATTTTGGTATTTTTTAATGCCTACAAAACCCCCTTCAAAGTTTTCAGACTTGAATCGGGTTGTATGTAGTCTGAAATACTTTGAATAGGTATCTCGAACATGAGAAGTTTATTTCACGAACCTGGTTTTGTCATGAACCTCGTGTTTGTGAAAGTTACTTTGCAGTTTGTTCTGAAGTCTGTCCCTTAATACAAGCCTTGTCAGAATAACCAACGTCTGACAAATGACCCATCGCAGCTTCGTCAGCACCACTGCTATGCACCTTTCCCAGACCTAGCGAATGGTTGCCAGCTGGTGATTGGAAATCCCCATGAATCCCGTCCGTAGATCTTGTTGGGGAGAGATCTCGTCAAACGACCTTAGCTGAAGATCACGACCCTTGATTCGACCCTTTTCCCGCCCCTATAAATAGGGTATCATAATATGAGAAGTCTTTTCTTCTCTCTTTGTCGTTTGGGTTATCTGAACTCCTTCTCTTCTCAATATTTCGATCTTTCTTTCTTCGCAAGCTCTTCAAGCGAAATCAATGGCTCCTAAGATCGCTGTAGACCGAAGCAAGAGTAAGGGCAAGAAGATTGTTGGCTCTTCGCACGAACCTGGCGTTCTATCCACCTTTTCAGGTAATAGATCTTAAACGCATGATTTACGTTCTGAGGGATGTCAACCCTGTCTATTTTAGACTTGGGTTTCTTGAGGAAGATGAATAGATTCTTCCAAACTCGTCATAAAGATGACGTCTTTTTGGCTGGATGAGGCTCGTCATCGATGATTCTCGTCTCAATGGCTTGTTTCGTCTTTCGATGAGCCTTATCCGCAAATTTCACTTCACATGTCCAACGTCGTTGGCTATTTTGACGAGGGTCATCCTCTAGAATTGTTAAACGAAATTCGTTTATATGATGAGCTTCGTCTCTTCATCGACCACGTTCGTTGGATTGGTTAACTTCGTTTTCAGATGATGAACTTTGTGTTCTCCAACGAATTTCGCTGAACTGATGAACCTCGTTATCCCTATCGAGGTTGAGTAAGCTTGCTTGGCCAACGAAGTTTAACCCAATCCACTACGAGTTTTGTGATAATAATCTTCTGGCTTTCCTTCCGGGACATACGCAGATCGTATTGGTGTCCGGAGCCCTCTGCCGAAATTTAA